CCGTTAAATTATACATTATGCTCTAGTTCCAGTGAGTTCCAGAGTATGGTCAGACCGTGACGTGGTGTGGAGCAAGGGGTCTGAAGCAAGACTGCCTGTAGTTGAATCTTGGCTCCTCCTCTTACAAGCTGCATGAACTTAGTCACGTTACTTGACCTGTCTGGGTATCTGTTTAATGATACCTTTCACATAGGGTTGTTTTGAAGATTACATTTTTAAAACACATATAAAACTCTTAGAACAATACCTGGCATATAGTAAGTACTCAGTGTTATTATCACCATGTCTGTTTTTTAAGTAGCAGTGAATGATCTTGTTTTCTGGTTAGTTTACACTGTGAGAGGGAGTATATGGTACAGGATTGTTGCCATCTTTATTACATGCTTCTATCCCTGTAGGTCCAACTATAATTCTACCCCAGTCTCCTTCCTCCCTGACCCCCATTTTCTTCCACATTGCCTAATAGTGTATATTTTTTAGTTTGCTTTTTCTGACTGTCCTTTTCTAGCTATATCTTATGTATCTCCTATAGCTGTGGCCTGGTCAGTAGAGAAATTAAAGAGAATTTCTCTTTCACACTTGATGCCATACCTTTATACAACTTGACAGTTGTTGTAATAAAGATGTGCAAAGGTGAATGCTAACACAAAGGAAGGACACCTAACTCTCATAGTCAGAGAGAGGAGGAGGGTATGATAATGAATATGGTGGTGGTAGGGTGGTTGGGAAGAAGTCATAGTAATGCACATGGAGGAGAGAATGTTTGTCATAAGCTGTACATAAGACCCTAGCCACCAAGAGTGTGGGGGGGACAAACTTTTTCAGAAGAGGGTACGGCTTGTAATGTAAAATGAACCAGAATGGACACTTCAGGAGCTACATGTTGCTGAGGGTGATAGAGCATAGACAGCACCAGGAGGAGTTGCCTGATTAGGCAAACAGGTACCAGGTCCTGATGGCTTTCCCTGTCACAGTAGAAAGTGAGTCCTTAATCCTATATCATTAAAGATTTTAGATCAGGGAAGGACATGATTAGAGTGATGTGATTTTAAAGAACACCAGGCTGCTCACCTGTATAGTGTGATCTGTGAATTAAAGGAAGTGAGACTAGAGGGACAATGACCAATGGAAAGGCTATTCCTTGTCACACAAGTAAGAAAAAAATGAAGTCCTGATGAAGGCATGGCCTTAGAAATGGGAAAGAAAGGAAATTTGTGAGAGATTTAAAAGGTAGATATGGTCTGGCTGGTGTGGCTCAGTGGTTGAGCATTGACCCATGAACCAAGAGGTCCTTGGTCAGGGCATATGCCAGGGTTGCAGGCTCGATCCCCAGTAGGAGGCATGCAGGAGCATCTGATTGATGTCTCTCTATCATAGATTCTTCTATCTATCCCTCTCCCTTCCTCTCTCTCTAAAATAAATAAAAACATTTTATAAAAGGTATATATGTATTGAGCACATGGGCACTCTGGTGGTAAGACCCTCTGGACTTGATAATCAGCTGTATGTGGCAGAGAACAGAGGAGCTGAGGCTCAGCTCCAGGTCTGAGGGTATGAGTAGATAATGATGTCATTAAGAAGAGTAGGAGATGGAGAATTGATTCAGGAGAGGAGAAGGCTTCCCTATGAGACCTATCACCTTTGAGCACCTATGGGACTTAGAAATGGAATGGAATGCAACTGAAGGAAATTAGCTTCTGTATCAGGAACACAGAGAATTTTGTGCTAAGAAGTGAACCTGTGATTCTTCCATCTATAGAAGTCAGTTGAAACATTGATATGCATTAAATCAACCAAGAAAGGGCTGAGGGTAAATCATAAGGAGATCCTAACATAATAGAAGGATGGAGAAGCATAGCCCTAGAAGATGATTTTGAAAGAAATGCCAGTTGGGGAGTTGGCTAAGACCCAGGAGAAAGTGGTGGCATAAGAGCTATGTCAGAGAGTTTACAAAATATTCTGTAATATTAAGTGGTGTTGGACATGGCTATAGAAAATGTGCTTTTCTATTAAGTGGAGTCCAGAGCAGGTGCCCCTCTCGGTGGACTGCCTCCTTTTGGAAAAAGCTGCCTACATCAGAGATCAGGAGAGAGTGTCCTTCCATCTTTGAGGCCTAGGCCTAGGAGGCCCTCATATTTCACATTCCTGTGAGAGTTGTCACTAGTTTGAATAGGGGAAAAAATTCTTTCTTTTTAGAGAAAAGAATTTAGGTAGAAATGACTTTTTTTCTGCAGTGTTTAAACAGAGGTACCATGTTTTCTTTTAAGGATTTTAATTGTTAACTAGAGAACAACAGCAACAGTTTTTTTTTGTTTTTTGTTTTTTTTTCCCCCCCATTTAACCATGAGTTTTCCATGCATTTTGGCTATGGGTTTCATTAGAGCAGAAGCAAAGCATGTTTATCTTAATGTCCCCAGGGCCCAACCTGGACTCTTGGCTTATAGAAAGTATCAACAAATACGTATTTTTGTCTTTCTTGTTTATGGTTACATAATTTCAATTTTTAGGGCTTCCAGGTTCTTTTGAATCTTCTACCTATCAACATCTCATGTCATTGAATTATGCCAACTCATCTTCTGAGGTTTACTAATGCTACTCTTTTGATCTGCCTAAAGTTTAATATCTTTTCTCTCCCCAAGTGTGCAAGTGAAATGAGAACTTATCTTAAGGCTTTATTTATGCCACAACATCGGAGAGTGGAAGTTGAAATAGAGCCAGGCTTAAGGACATCAGGGTTGAAACAAAAAACTGCCAGGTTACTTCTGCGGCTCTTTCACTTCCATAAGGGCTTCTATTTCTGCTTCTCTTCGTTTTCTTTCTTTTTCTTTCAAGTCTTTATTTAGAAAAATGTTAATTATGTAGAATATAGTATAACCAAATGCCTTTTTAACCTTTTTACCTTAACTGTCAAGAACTTTACGATGCCATAATTTAGAGTCTTATTAATGTAACATTGGTTCCACTACCCTAACCAATTCCTCCGTGTTGGTCAGAAATAAGCTCAGAGTAAGTTTAGGAAGATTCCTTGCATTCCTTCTGGGAGACAGAATTAGCACTACGATGTCATGAGACTTGGAGGTGGTGGTCAGACGAGAGGCTTCCTGGATGACTGCTCTATCTTCCATCTTCGTAGCAGGGATGCATTTATCCTATCTTCCCAGGTGGCTTATTATAGGCTTCCAAAACACACACACAAAATAACAACCAACAAAACAAAACACACACACACACACACACACACACACACACACACACACACACACACACCCCAACTATGGGACCTATTGAATGAAGAAAACCTATGCTATATTTCCATTTAGATAATGTTATATTTGGAATTTTAAGCTTCTCAACAAAATATGATTTTGCTGCTGTTCCCTTTTGATATTCTTTTCTATGACTATTGTTGGAGGATGATAAGATTTGGTAGGTTATGTACCTATTCAAGGTTAATTCTTCACTTTCTCAGAGCTCTATAAATTTAGTGCTTATTATGACTGTGGTGGGAAGTAGGGGAACCAGCAATAACATTTGCCTGTTCTCCCCGTATGCACAGAAGTATTTCCTGTGTGCTTGCCTGTGAGATCAGGATTCTTTTTTCAGACATTTTGCTGTTCATAGCTATTATAAAGTGAGAAATAAAAATAAATCTTCTAGGGGAAAAGTTTTATAAATGAAGAAGTAAAATGTCTGAACTCATCACCCTATTTTTATACTCTGTGTATATTGCATTTGAACATGATTCTCCTTTGTTTTTATTCTGTGCTATTTAAACTGCACTTATGAAAAGAAATTTGGTATTTCTTAGCTAATGAAATGATTGACAAATAACTTATTTTTGAGTAGGAAGGAATCAGCATTTAAAAACCTTATAATTTCAGCTTTTTTGTTGATGTAAATAAAGTCAGAGCTATATTATGCTTTTGTTCTTATTATAGAAGTGGTTGATGATCAAGTTCATGAAGGTGAGCCATTGTACTGTTTTATTTTTTGAAAGCGTGTCTCATTTCTTTTCAGGGAATCAGCAGTCTCTTCAGTTCTTTAAAAGTGGTGCGTCTCTTGCGACTGGGCCGGGTTGCTAGAAAATTGGACCATTACCTGGAGTACGGAGCAGCAGTCCTCGTGCTCCTGGTATGTGTGTTTGGACTAGTTGCTCACTGGCTGGCCTGCATATGGTACAGCATTGGGGACTACGAGGTCATCGATGAAGCCACGAACACCATCCAAATAGACAGTTGGCTCTACCAGCTGGCCTTGAGCATTGGGACTCCATATCGATACAATAGCAGTGCAGGGATATGGGAAGGAGGACCCAGCAAGGATTCACTGTACGTGTCCTCTCTCTACTTTACCATGACAAGCCTTACAACCATAGGATTTGGAAACATAGCTCCTACCACAGATGTGGAGAAGATGTTTTCAGTGGCCATGATGATGGTTGGCTGTAAGTATCTTGTTTTCTTTAAACCATTTTTCTTCTTTACAAACAATTGTTGTTGGCAGTTGTCCAGGCTCTAAGTTCTGTCAGGATTAAAATGAAACTGCTTTGTTTTCAGAAAGGTGTTTAATCCATATTATTTGCATTGGTTTGCTTTTTATTCATCTTTAGAAAATAAAAAAAATGCAAAATAATATGTTTTACTTTTTAGAATATATTAGCCCATTTAAAACAGTGTGGACAGAGTGATACAAACACTGACACGGAAACTGCTATTTTATCCTGTTCAGTAGCAAAGCTCATTCCAAGGGAGACCAGCATCCAGACAGGCAGCATCTGGCGCATCCCACAGGTTTCGTTGGCAATGCATTAAATTCCAGAAAAGCAGACAGGAGCTGTTGTGGGATACATTGTTTAGAAAAAAGTTTATCTAGTAATAGAATTGCTGAATTAAAGTTGAATTCTGGATACAATTAAGACTAGTAAGAAAGGTTTATAAATGTAATTTCCATTACAAACATTCTAGGTTGGATATATGCTTATTTGAGAGAATGCAAGGATTAGTAAATATAAACCTATTCAGCAATGACAAGAGTAGCTAGGATTTAGCATGCGTACTGAATGCATTGAGAGTGTTCTTGGGAGTAGAATGTTCTCTAAAGCAGCCAAAGACCATGCATTCTACACGCAGAGAGATCGGATGATGTCAGGTCAGATCACTAAGGAAATACATACCCAAGAAGCTGTTGTTAAAGAAGATCTTAGGGAGTAGTCACCACTATTCACACCTTCAAACTGACTTAGGTGATTTGTCCAAATCTATTTCTGATACCTAAAGTAACCTTAAGATCATTGTACTGGAATTTTGATTAGTGTTATTAGCAGCAGGTAAGCCTTTGGATCCTGGTCATTGGTTTTTTGTCTAAGGCATCCTTTCTTAAGGTTTCACATTGCAGGGTTTTATATTTCGACTCTGATGGGAAAGATGTTAGAATCCAGGAGTGACAGCTGGCCTGTGAAGGCTCAATATATTGGGTTTAAGCAAAGTAGTTTTCAGAGTTCCCAACGTCTGAGCTATTGGAGCACCTAGGCTAGTAGCTGTTTAGCTTCTGTCCCTCTACCTCATTTGTACAGGTAAGGAAACAAGAACTCATGGGTTCTATTTGCTGGTTAAAGGTAACAGAGGGAGAGTGAGAATTCCAAGTGTTGTTTGCTCCAAAGGTTTTTAGGAGAAAAAAAAATGTTCTTACATACAAAGAGATCCTGATGATTAATTAAACTGTTGCTTACATACCAAAATGGTAAGATGTATTGGAAAAAAGGTGCTTTATAAATTCAGAAGACAACATTTTGTCAAATGTAGGATTTATTGCTATACTAATTTTAATATTTAATTAATTTTGCATTACACATGAGCATAATTTTATTTTTTAAAAATTTATTTCAAGTAATTATATATTCACTGGAAGTTGCAAAGATAGTACAGAGAGGGCTTTTGTGTTCTCCACCTGGTTTCCTCCAGTAGTTACACCTTATAAATCTCTAGCACAAGACCCACACTGACATTGGTGCAAGGGGTGTGTATAGTTCTGTGGTGATCTATCACGCGGGTAAATTCCTGTCACCACCACAGAAAACAAGATACAGAATAGTTCCATCACCACAAATATGTCCCTCATGTAACTGATCTATAGTCACACCCACCCCTTCCCCCAAGCATGCCTAACCCTTCATATCTATACTTTTTTAAAAAAATTTGGGAATGTCATATACATGGAATCATACAAAATGTGACCTTTTGAAATTGGCTTTTTCCACTTAGCATAATCTCCTGGAGATCCATCTAAGTTGTTGAGTACATCAATAGCTCGTTCCTTGATATATCTGAGTAGTATTTCATGGTTTGGATATACTGCTGTTCAACTGTTCATCTATTTAGGGCCATTTTGGTTGTTTCCAGTTTGGGGCTATTACGAATAAAGCTGCTATGAACATTCACGTATAGCTTTCTGTTTAGACATAAGCTCTCAGTGCTCTGGGATAAATACCCAGGAATGTGATTGCTGGGACATATGGTAAGTGTATATTTAGTGTTTCTTTTAAGAAGTTGGCAAACTATTTTGCAGAGTGGATATACTAGCATAGTTACATGTTTTCACAAAAGAATAATAGGAGAATAAAATCTATGGAGAGTTCAAGGGCACCATTATCATTTTGTTTCTCAGGCCCCAAACCTGGAAATTATCCTAGATACCTGTTTTTATCATGTGTTTCATCTAATCATAACAAGCTCTGCTGGTGTTACCTTCAGAATACATTTGAATCTTTCCATTTCCAAACCTGACGCCCAAGACCAAGTCACCACCATCACTGGCCTGCACGTTTGCAGTCATCTCCTATGTGTTCCTTCTGTTTCTACTGTTGTCTCACATCTCTACCCACAGTGGCCCCCTTAAGTAAATGAGATCACACCATTTAAGTAAATGAGATCACATCCTCTGCTCAAATCCCTCCTGTGTTTTTCAGTGCACATAAAGTAAAATTCAGATTTTCTATGCCTGCTATCAAAGCCTTAATGGTCTGACCCCTTGTCTGCCTCACCCACTTCACTTTCTCCCCTTGTTCATTTACTCCCTCCGTGTGAGCCATCTTGATGTCTCTACACAGCAAGCTGAGTCCTGTCTCACGGTCTTTGTGTTTGGTTTCCCCACTGCTTATAACACCCCTGCCCTGTGTTATGTCCTGCATTCATGCAGACCTATACTCAGATTTCCTCTTCAGAAATTCCTGCCAATGCTGCCCTATTAGAAAAACCACCCTGACGCCAACCACCTTTGTTCTCTGCCCCTTTTCCTTTTTCTTCTTCATTGTATGAACCAAGTCCTGAAACCCCATTGACTCTGTTTTTCTTTTCCATCAGTATGTAAGCTCCATGAGAGCAGTTGTTTACACCCAACTTGTAAACAGTTTTTAATATCATGCTCAATCTATACTTGTATAAATGAATGAAGTTGGAGATGTCCCTGATGGTCATAGTGAGTTCTCCTGTCCTTAAGTCCACTCCAGTTAGGTCTCTGACAAAGATACATGCCAGAAAAATGCAGTTTTTGAATTTTGGCCCCGATTCCTTTGTGGAAGCCTTGGTGAGCTCATCTGAAAGTCTGCCTTTGGGAATGCAGTGGTCCCTTTAGCTGGATTTTGCCCCACCCTATCTCTCGGTAGGCCTAGTCAGTAGGAGCTAGTCAGTAGAAGCACCAACAAGTCCTTCACCACTTTTTACTGTTTACCTCCAGAATCTACCTATATTGGAAATTTTCACATAGATTCAGTTGAGTTTTCAAAATTTCATTTGATTCAGAATTGGTCCCATTCCTTCTTGACTTCATGTGTGGCCAATTATATTGCTATATGTACATTTTCTTCTTCTCTTTTCCTTCATTTCCTATCTTGATTTTATGATGAAGACCTAGTCTTAAAGTTAGGCCTTTTACTGAGTTTTTGCTATATCCTTTCAGCATCTGAGTGGTTGTTTTCTGTTTAGAAACCAATTTCTGACATCTTTTGCCTGTTGATTTAGGTTTTCTTTTTATGTCTCTGAATAAATTTCAATTGCTATAGCCAGAGTGTTCCTAGGAGAGGCCTTTTAATTTCCTTTTTTGACCTGGGTCGTTAGTAATTTTATGGCATGTTTCCTTTGCAACAACCTAAGAAGATAATAGAAAACTGTCAAGACCTGTGCAGTGTTATAGTAACTTCCACAGTTCCAAAATTTATTAGATACACACGCACAAAACATCAACCAAATTGGCAGTTGTAGCTGTTTGCAATCTTAGTTTAATTTTTTCCCCTACAATAACGCCAAGGAAAATAGACAAAACAAACCACCAGTGTTCCCAGAACCACCCAGAACCAGTATGTGTTATCAGCCGTAGACGTAGCCAGGGATTTAGTGGTAGTAGTGTGTTGTGTTGTGTGTGCGTGTGTGTGTGTGTGTGTGTGTGTGTGTGTGTGTGCAGGAAGCTGCATTATTTGCCCGTATTGCTGTCCCTGTGACTTTAGCTTGCTCTCTTGAGAGAGAGGGAAGGGGGAAAGTGAAGGAGAAAGAAAACAGAAAGGCTGGTGCTTTTGGTTGTGCTAGGATTCTAGTCAATCCATGCTGGCTGTTTGAGAAGCACCACTTGTAACCTTATAACTGAGAAAAATGTTTTATCAGAAGATTGTTGGAGCTAAGAATCACTTTCATTGAGGAAAATAATCACTACTTGTAAATGATAGCCTCTTTTTCTGAAGTAAGTCACCTGAAAATTTCGTGCCTTCCAGCAATATTTAGAAATTTCAACGGCAGCACTTTCAGTTCCTGGGTCCCTTCTGACAAATCTTCAAGTAAAATTTATGACCGTGGCCTCCCTTTAATTCTGGTCCCCTGGTGTCTCCTTTTGATCCCTTCTGTGTCAGCAAGATCACAACATATTTTCCTTCCTTGCTACCGAGGACTTTTTTTTTAGACTAAATCCTTTGTTCCTACATTTGCTCAAGGTGGAGAATCCTCCTGCTCAGATTCCAGAACTGGAAGGTTGTTTGGATCTTCTCAGAATATGTCTACCACGATGGATTTCCTACCTCAAATTTATGTGTTTTCAATTTCAGCATGCTCTGTGCCTCGGCTGTACTGCGCGGCTCTGGTAGCAGCCATTGCCATTCCTGGATAGTCACCGCCCCCATTTCTCTCTATCTGCCCATTCATGAATGAACCTGACTACTCTGCTGATGGTCACGAAATTCACTACCAAAGGGCTTTTCTGAAAGAGGATATTTTTGCAGTTTATTCTGCAGCACTTGCGGGAAATAAGCATTTTTTTTTTTTTTTTTAGATCAAGATGTGGGTAATCTCTTCGGTAATTTGCGCAGTAAACACTTAAGATGCCTTTCTGCAATGTTTTTAAATCCATTTCATTTATATAATCTCATTATTGAGCTTCTAATATTTTTTTTTCTAAAGATTAGCA